CCCCACCCCCCCCCCCCCCCCCCCCTCATTTCTCTTTGCTTTTCAACCCAACCTAAAATTAGTCTAATAAATCATTTAAGCAACTTCAACGATGAAGATGGGGAAAAAAAACTCAAGTTGGAATTAAGGTTAAACTCTAGTAATTATAATTCATCCTACACCACGCAAGTGTCGGATCGATTTTAATTCATTAAGATTCTTTTTTGTTAATTCATTCATTCAGACTTTCACGTTTTTTAATGTAGATGATTTTAACATTGACCCCTATTTTATTAAAACTTTAGATTGTTTGCTTTATTTTTTAGATAACTAAATTCACTTATTATAAATAATTAATTATAACTGTAACTTTTTAAGTGACTTGATTGTGGAAACAAATAATATGTCCTATATACTAAGAGCATCACATGGCTAAAAGGTTTCATTTGTTTAAATCACCGACCAAATGATGTCCTCTTAGCACTTACTACACAAAAACAACGTAAATTGATTTATTACTAGTTTCCTAAGCAAGCCCCTATTAAATAGTCCAAACGTGGCATCTTGAGGTGTAAAGAGCCCCAACATTTTTTGCCTTTAGAATATAACCTCAACATTGGTCAATATTTTCTTTAACCTCATCATAGTTAATTAATGTATAGAAACCATCACTTCAAGAAAAAGATTGTTTTGATTCATTTAGCACCAAAGTATGTGGCTAATAAGTCAATGATGAGGACGAGAATCGTGGCTAAGAAGTAAATAGGAAAAGATTCAAATACGTCATCGAATTTTGAGAAAAGACTCATTTATGTCATTAGTTAGAAATTTGGTTCATTTATGTCATTTCTATTTGATAAAAAAAAACTCATCTATGTCATTGTTGATTACTGAAATGATATAGATGAGTTAAATTTTTAACAAATGATATAAATGAACGTGTTTCTTCAGAGAGAAAAAGATGGAAAGAAACAAAAGTAACAAGAAATTAAAACAAAAAAAAAAATCTTCTTTTTTCCTGCTAATAAACCTATCAAAAAGGAAAAGATGACCCCTTCCTCAGAAAAGGGCAAAAATAGCTAAAAGCAATTAAGAAATTTGTTCCATTATTTTCTATTCATACAACTTTAGCTAAACAGCCTTGTACTGCTGGTTAAGAAAATGTCTCCTTAACCAAATTACACATCAATTTGCTACAAATATCCCTCCCTTTGATCTCTTGGCTTTATTGTTTTTGGTTTTATTGATAAATTTTGTTCCTATAATCATACTGGTTGACCAGCCTTCTCTCTCAAGCAACATATGCATGCACATTTAGATCTTAATTAAAACAAAACTTAAAATAAGACACAGTTAAAAACACTTTTATAAAGGTCTAAATTTTAAGATTAAGGTACCCGTTCATGGCTGACGCTTGTCGATACTCAACGATTTTCCCTCTCTTGCCTTTTCTGAGTGGACTTAAATTCTATAGATGCACGTCCAATGTAAAAAAATTTATACAAGTATACCACTATATGATATTTACAAATAAATCTCTATGACAAGCATAAATTAAAAATTGTTAAAAACAATAGCAATAACCAATACATAGAATATCACGTAGGACGCGTGTCTACTTGTTCCAAATTAAGTGCCTACTTGTACGTACACACTCAAATTTAGAGGCATAGTTAGGTTCCATTTTAGGATAGATAACAGTGAAAAAATGTTATGCTCCTACCGGGCATAGAAAGGATATGAAGACCCTACACCCAGCAAATATAGTCATGAAAGTTCAGTCCACTAAGCGAGAGAGAAGTTGCTCAGGTGGTAAGCCCTCCACTTCAACATTAAGCAATTTGAAGTGAACCTTTGTCACAAACCAAATAATTTTTTTCCCTGATGACATGTTATACTAATTGGTCCCCAATATTCTTTCAGATATCAAATGCTTATAATAGAAAGGTCATTCAATTCCAGATAATCTCTTTCAGTTTAATCAGATTGCTTATACAAAAATAATTACAATCTTGACATGAAATTGTGGACACTATATATAGATATTACAACAGCCTATGTGAAAGAATTATTAGCTCCAAAAAAAGAAAAAGAGTAAAGGGACTCCACCTGTTATGAAACATGGAGATTTTGGATATCAACTCGCAATGATTTCAGTTTCTTCTCAATAATTGTCAATTCTTCTGCAGTCGCCAAAAGTTCATCCAGTCGGTTTTGAGCTCTAACTTGATATGGCTTACCGATGAGTTTTACAAAGTCCTCCACATTTCTAGTTGTCTCCAAGAGATCCTTCTGCATAGCCTCTTCGAGTTCACGTGCAAGGCCATCAGCAGTCCTCTTTACTTTACTTACCACTTGCTGTCTCCGGGATGAGAAGTTGGAGACCGCCAATAAACTATAAAAGGAACAGTTTTTTAATTATGATACAAAACAAACAATTGCTGAAGATAGGGGGGAAAATCCTATCAAATAAAAGATAATTCATAACATTTCTCCAGAATGCAGAAACTCAAGAGCAAACAATAATACTGACAATGTTACATAACAGTAATTAAGCTTTAAATAGATATTCCCAATCCAAAAGTCACTCTCTTATACACAAAAGACAACAAGAATTACAGACTTTTAATTGGAACAAAAGGAACAGGATTACACATGTTCAGATCAGGATCTACTTTATGACGTTAAAACTTGCTTAAATTAGTGCACTCATTATGAACATTGAATGCCAGGAAACAGGAATCTTTGACCTCTATGAGGCAGCAGTTAACGACCAATTACAATATATTAAAACAAAACTAGAAGCTCTAACTGACTTAATGTTAGGTAAATCCACCAAGTGCACTGAATAGGCTCTGAGTAGACAACCTAGGATGTTCCAATGGGATAGTAATCTATGTGCCCAACAAATCACATCAGCTCTCAAATAACAGAATACATATCAGAGCTACTATTAACATTATGAATTGATTCATCATCCAAAAGCATTGGATGTTACGCAACCTATACAAGCAGCAAAAAGTTTTGGAAATCCTCATAAATGATTAAAGATGCTACACTTTGAGAAAATTGAAGACATATTAGAAAATTTAAATTGAAAATAAGAAGATTACCCGCCAGCAGAACAAAGGCCAAGCGCAAGGAGATCTTCTAATGTGGTTTGAAGAACAGATGTCAGAAGCGACGCTGATAAACCAGCTGCTCCAAGACCACCAAAAGTACCTAAGAACTGAAAAATGAATGAGCTACCCTCAGAAATTTGTTGTACGTTAGTCATATTTTAAATAACATATGTATCCTTCAAAATTATGGACACCTCTACTCATCATATTGCACACCCCACAAATGGCTTTGCAAAAGACCTAGAAAGCAAAAGATGAACTTTGTGACTGATTTCCTCTCCTAACTATCTCGAATATTTACAGGACCTGAAAAGAAGTTAAACTCTCTAAAAATGTGAAAAAAAATATAAGCTATCACCTAACTGGAAATAGAACGGCGAGATGTGGTTTTATTGGGGATTAAACTAGACAGATGAGCTTAAAACAATAGGATATTATTAGCGCTGATCTCTACTTCCAATAAAGCATCTGATTTGGTCTTCCAGATACACAAAAACCTCCACATTTTTGGCTATTATTCATAGAAAATTCTATTCCAGAATCAAAGATAAGCATAGAACTTGAGAAAAAATTGAAATGTGTGAGCAAAGGCAAAAAAGGCATCTTTATTTGACACTAAGAAAAAATAACACAATTCTCCCCCTCCCTTGTCTGTGAGAGAGACGAAGAAAGCTCCACGAGGCTTCTCAAAGAAAAAAACTCCACACTTACCTCTGTCTAAATCTAC